ACCAGTGATTAAAACATGAAATAGGTTTCTTAATTCATTTAAGATACTCATGGTTTGCAGGGCCTTCCACTGGTGGCATTTGTGACTGTGGAAGAGAAGAAATGCTTTCTGGAGGCACAGCACAACCTCTCTGTGCATTAACATCCTGGTACACAGCAGGGAAACCTATTTGGGCAGCCTGACTTTTAAAAAATTTCTGACTTACTCATGTTAATTCTCTTTGATATTAAAATTTAGTAACGTTTCTAAGCTAAGTTCATTTTGGAATTTGTGCTTCCAAGTCTAAGACTTTGACTTCTTATTTCTTTGGTTTATAAATAGTCATGTCTAGTCTTAATATATCCAGAAAGGTGTCATGTTGATAAGTCAAAAGGTGTGTTTGACTGATATTTTCATTTTAGCTCACTGTAATTGAGTTCATTTCCACACATGAAAGCCCTCAAAACTTTGAGTGTTTTAAGTTTTGCTGACTTTTTCCAATATACAGCTTTTACAGAAACTGCAGTAGTAATTTTTCTTTACTGAGATATTGTTGTACCTTGAGTTCTGTTTCATTTGTTTTTTGAAAAGTATGTATTCATGCCTGTTAAGAGTAACTGCCATGCTCATTAAAGTTACAGGTGTATACACAGTTACATAAAAAACCTAATGTTAATTTATTTTCTCAATAAATATTTGGCGAATGTCTGCTATGTGCCAGACACATAGAAGGCATATGAGATATTGGTAAGCAAAACAGTTCCCTGGCCTATGGCAGTTATATTCTTACAGGAGAGAGACAGTAATCATAATCAGTAAATTCCATCCTTGTTGGAGAACAATCCATGCTTATGAGAAACAATAGAATGGACAGAGGAAGTAAGAGTAGTTGGGGCAGGGGACAAGTTCCAATTTTAAGGGAGTCAGGGAGAGCCCATCGACGAGGTAGCCTTCAGTTGAGCAAAAATATGAAGGAGCCATGGAGTCATCTAGGGGAAGAGCATTCAGGCAGAAGAGGCACCAGGGCCAGAGCCAAAGCAGGAGTGTGCCAGGGGCACGCACACTGGGTATGAGGGAGATGGAGTGTGTGTGTGTAAGGTCTAAGGTTTTTACAGCTGGCTTTACTGGTGGCCTGTGAATTCTGGCTTCAAAGCATATTGTACAAACTAAGATAGTTTATCCAGGTCTTGAACCCTGACCTTCCTTTTGGAAATCTCTAAAGTCAGTTTCCGGGTGTCAGTCATGAAGACTTTCTAGTTGCCAGTGAACTGAGAAAACCGGGTTCCTAGGCAGAAGAGTCACTGTCCTCATTTGAAATGTCTGTGGGGATATTGATGGAAGCCTAATAGTCACAACAGATGGAATCTGCATGACGAAAGGTCTAGGGAAAAGGCGAGTGGAGTGAAGTTACTCCTGTGTACAGAGAACCAGTGGTCTGTGGTTATCCTTGACTTTATACAAACAAAGGAAGTTTTGCTTAACTTAATAAAAGATTGTTTCTCTGTACATATAAAATGGAAGTTTTTTTGTGGGAGAGAGTTCTAAAATGGAACAGTATTAAGACACCTCTGTGAAAGTGACGGCCTGATTAGTGCCCTGTTCTCTGCACGTCCTGAGAGAGCAGGAGCGAAGGTGTGATGTGGACGAGCTGCTGTGGGGATTTGGTTTGAGCGTCTGCGTGGGGAGACCCTTCGCCATATGTGCTTCAGGAAAATCAAAATCTCAGAGGGCTGCTGTCCTAAAAGAGCTTTGCGTCTAACTGGGCACATAAACAAATGTGCATAAAGCGGGAAGGGAGCCAGTAGGTACTCGGAGGAGGAGGGTCAAGGACCGTAGAGAGAACACTGAGTGGACATGTATTCATCCCCAGGACTTCATTCACCCAACAGGCTTTTACTGAGCATCCGCCAGATGAAGACATTGTTGAAAGAAAGTCTAGATTTTTTCTTTGAGGTTATAAAATGCCATTCTTTGTGGAACAGCTGAGGAAAGATCACTAGTTTAGAACCAGGGAGATGAATTGGATGGGTTTGGGGCTTCTGTCACCAGCAGCTTTTTTTCCCCCTGACCAGAGCTCAGAGTTTTGTAGGCAAGTTGCCACTATGTTTCTGGTTTCTGGCAGTTGGGTTCATTTGCTTCACAATACTTTCCTGTTGTTTTTTTTGCAGCAAACCAAAGAGAGAGTGAAGCTATTGATACAGCTGGCTGATGGCTTTTGTGAAAAGGGGCATGCCCATGCGGCAGAGATTAAAAAATGTGTTACTGCAGTGGATAAGAGGTACAGAGATTTCTCTCTGCGGATGGAGAAGTACAGGACCTCTTTGGAGAAAGCCCTGGGGATTTCTTCAGAT